TCTGGCTGAAACTTCTTGCAGTTTTTAAACTTCCATTTGAAAACAAAGTATCAGCTTTGTTGGTGTTTGGATCCAGGAAATGCAGTTCAGAACTCATCTCCGGACTCTGGAAGCACATGTCATCCCCCAAAGGTGCAGAGGTTTGATGAGTTTGAAAATCCACAGGTTTCGTCTTCTTATCTTTCGGCGACTCGACTTCTGTCTCCACTTCTGATTCGCCATAGGCGGGTGCTGTGCTTTGCTGCTTCCTCTTCGATCGAGCACGCCTGTTTTGGAACCAGTTATAGACATTAGATTCAGAAATTTGGCCATGCTGACCCAGTTCAGAGGTGATCTCTTTGATCTTCTGCTTGCTGGGAGTTCCATTCCCTTGCTCGAATATGCGCTCCAAGATCTGAAGTTGCACAGGCGTTGGAGTCCATCGCTGTCTAGAAGTGATTTTGTGGCTGGAAGATGTCATCAGCGGCTCACAGTACATGTTACCCAACCTCATTCCTGCAAAGCAGCAGGACACAAGCTTTAAGCAAGTGCATGGAGAAGGCACATCAGATTGTCTCTAACAAGTCATAGCCATACCGCCACAACCATCTTATTCCAAAAACCCTTAATATCATTATCAGAACTGGCTAATTCACTTTACAAATATACTTGAATTGAATGAACTCCTTATTCAATTGCTAAAGAACATACGTCTCCCCCGTTTGATAAACGGTGATGACGATTACTTTTTTCCTTAAATTTCATATTAACAAATTTAACTTAACTGTTATTCCAAGAATGCTCATGAATTAGTTTTAAGAACACATGAATGTCTTCTTTTTTCTTTTTTTTCTTTAAAGTAGATCACTAAATGGTTACTAAAGCGCCACTTAATCATAGATGGCCATCCTGCAAACAATGGAGGAGGAGGGAAATAGTTACTTTACGGCAGGGCTACCACAGCCAAAAGGACCACAAAAAAGTTGGATAGCATCGCGAAAAGGGAAACCAGTAGTAGTCTTACAGCATTAGATGTTTGCCCTTACTTCGAGGCAACAAATAGCTCAAAAATGACCAAATATTTGCACGATTTTCCAAAGAAAAAAAGAAACCGCGAGAGAGCTCATACCAGCAATCGAAATTGAATACGATCGATCGAGAAGAAATTAAAGAGGAAATTCCAAAAAGTCTAATACTCCAATCAACAGCACACGCGTACTAGGTTTAAGCCTTAATTATGCGATTCGATTGAAAGAAAAAGTAGAAGAAATGAATTAAAGAGCATTATTGGTTGCACCTGTGAGATCCTGGTGAGCAGTGAGTGTCTTGTGCATCTCAACGAGCTGCTCGCAAATGGTGGCGTAAACAGCAATTTGCTTGCGAAGAGTCTCCAATTGCTCGTCGGTCATGACTTTGACGTAGAGAGCGCCGGCGGTAGTTCCGGTGAGATGATGGAGGTGATCGTCTCGAAGAGGAGGGTTCTGGTGGTGGTACGGAGTTTGGTGCTCAGCCTTTTCCCACTCCATCATAATCTCTGCTCCAAAATTTCTGAGAGAGAGAAGAAGAAGAACGAAGAAAGAAAAATCAGAGAGAGAGAGAGAGAGGCTGAAAAAAGCGGACGGTTAACGGGAAAGTAAAGAAACAGACAAATATGCGGGAAGAGGAGAGCGACCCAAATCTAAATTATTCATTTATTAAATTATTCAATAAATATGTATTTTTTACGCTTAACTTTTAAATTATTAATTTAAGTAAATAAATTATGATTAACATATATATATATATATATATATATGTATGTATAAAGAAATTGGAGATGGCCTCGGGATTAGATGGTGGTGTAGATCACGGGGTCAACCTTAAAATTAATTCCTGAGAAATAAAGAAAATTATGCTAAAATTAATAAATCTAGACAAAATTAATAATTAATTAATAAAATATTGGGAAAGATTCTGAAAAAAAAAAAGAGACTATTTAGAGTCATTTTCATTAGGTGGGCGAATGAGATCTTTATTTAAATTTATGGACCTTTCTTTTTGTAAAATTAATTTAAAAAAAGAAGGCATCCCTATCAAATCCACCTCGGATTTGATTTTTTTTCCCTTTATGGTAAATATTCGGATCTTAATTGAAATGGAATTAAGGACAATTTAATTTCCTGATTTAATTTGGAGGGTAATTGAGGGTGAAATTTAGAGAGGGAAAGGGCAACCGGAGGGACCGGTGGAGGAGAGGTGACCAGTCTGAGTTAGCTCTGGCACTGTCTCACCCTGAGGGTACCCGCCGGTCCAGTCAGGGTTGGACAATTTGACGTGTTATTCTGAAAGTTTGTGTTGTCTGTTACGGCAGCCGGCGGTGGACATCACGGCGGAGATAAAAAAAAAAAAAAAAGATGTCGGAAATTCTGCAGCTTTTGACAGTGAAGGAGGAGGGTGTTTTTCATTTGTGTCAGAGATTGATGGTCTTCTTGTCCTGAAAAATAAAAATTAATATTTTTTTTTTTTTTTTAAGGAATTAAATATAAAGAATAAAAATAAAGCAATGATAATTCAAACGTGGACACATGCAGGGTCGTTGTCTGATTTGTAATATGCATGTGAGAGTGTTATTAATTAGATGACTTATTACCCCATTAATTGCATTTAGCACATAAATACAAAACCCTTAATCATTTCATATTATCCTTCATTTTCTCTCAATATTAAATAGAACTAAAATTAAAAAAAGGGTAATGTAAAAAATAAACCTTTTAAGAAGTGGTCTATTCTAGATCTTTTTGTTTGCATTTAAATACGAGAATAACAAAGAAATCATTCTCTGGGCCCTAATAAATAAAAAATAAAAAAAAAAAAAAAAAGAATTTTGGAGATTAAAGTTGTAATTTTAATTAAAGTGTAATTTGAGGAGATTAAAAGTAAGTAAGAATTTAGAGAGAGAAAGAGAGAGAGAGATTAGAAGGATAAATATGATTAATTGAATAAAGAGAGAAAGCAAAGGATGATTAGCCGACAGAGCATGTGCTCCACCACTAAGCCTAAGGGGCAGGTCAAAATCAGAGGGCGGCCATAACAATACTTCCCCTTTCCCCACCACCAATCATCCATTCCTGTTTACCGTGTGAACATAAGAAGACACACTTCTAGAGAACAACCAAATTCCTTCCATTTACATGGAAACGGAAATGGGACTGCAACAACACACACTTATCCAAGCCCAAAGATTCTCTAACCAACCAATTGATTCAATTCATTTGGGAACAATCTAATTGGTGTTATAGAAAATAGAAAATGGTATAGATTTAACCAGCCTTTTTTTGTTTTTTTGGCCATTCGGAAGAAATTGAAACCTAGAATAATGCAGTAGTGACTTACAGCAGTGTGATTATCTAAATTTTCGTTCATACCTATAGTAGTGTGATTATCTAAATTTTCGTTCATACCATTCTAGGTCTCAATTTTTTAATTGAAATTCTAAAGATGTTTTTAAACAAGTTATTTGTGTTTGAAGTTTAATCTTTTTGTGTTTTGGATTGGGTTTCACATAGTGTGGTCTACCTAAGTCATGATGAAACATGATAGACCCACAATTTGGTATCTGGGAATTGGCTATCTCAGTTGGTAAAGTTCCACTTTTCCAATAGTGAGCTTGACCATTCTTTCGGCTACATTGGAGGAACTTATGGTGTGGGTTGGCTGAGTAGACAGAAGCATTTTATATCAAATATGGACAAACCATTAATTCTATTGTGATATTCTACGTCGGTTGGGGAGAAGAACGAAACATGTTTTATAAGAGTGTGGAAACCTTTTCCTAGCAGACACGTTTTAAAGCTTTGAGGGAAAGTCCGAAAGGTAAAACTCAGAGGGACAATATCTACTAGTAGTGGGCTTGGACCATTACATCTATATACCTAGTTGACATAGTTGACAGACAGCATTCTATTTCTAACCATCCAAAGCATGTTAATCTTACACAGATTTGTATAACCTGAAATTCAGAAATCAAGAGTCATGTAATATTTAGTTAGTTGGTATGAGCATGAGCATGTTTATCTCAAACAGATTTATGAAACCCACATTTTATAAATCACATGTGAAAATTATCAATCAACAATTTACCAACCAAACCCAAGTTATACATACTCAAATAAACTATGTCTAAACTTTATAAACATAGACTTCATAAATTTGTGAATCAAACAAAATAATCTTCTCGTTGAGGGTAAAAGAAATAAATACACGCAAGACGACGTATAAAATTCAATTGTTGGTGGATAAATGTTGTACAAGTTTGTACCTTTTGTCAGCAGCAATTGAACATTGAACTTGCGGCAACACTGGATATTACATGAGACTGGCGATGGCAAGAGTCGTGCACAAACTGCAGAGAAAATCATCCTGTTAACTTTCCTTTACATATTATAATAATATCAGGTAAAGAGCCATTTACCTAAGACCTTGTAAGATCCCACGTTGGCTGGAGAGGAGGACAAAACATTGCTTATAAGGGGGTGAAAACCTCTCTCTAACATGACGGCGATATATAAGGGGCGCTGTTTACAAATGGTGTAAGAGCAAGACACCGGGTGGTGTGCCAGCAAAGACGCTGGCCCCCAAGAGGGTGGATTGTGAGATCCCACATCGGTTGGAAAGGGAAACGAAACATTCTTTATTGTTTATAAGGGTGTGGAAACCTCTATCTTGCAGACGCATTTTAAAACCGTGAGACTGATAGCGATATGTAATGAGCCAAAATAGACAATATTTGCTAACAATGAGTTTGGGCTATAACAGATCTTCAGACGAGCCCATCTGCATTAGACAAATCCAATAAGAACATGTGCATGTAAAAGTAACACAAGAAAAAAAAGAAAGAAAGAAAGAAAAGAAAGTATAGTTCAAGTGAATATCAAGTATGGTATCCTCAATATTTGGTTTCTATGCAATTTATGTCCACTCCAAGTAGTAGCACGAGGTCAGTGGCCTGAGAATTAAGACCGCAGTCTGCAGCATTATTTCTGCAAATCCTTCACAACTCCTTCAATCAAATCCTTGATGATCAGACCTTCAACCTCCCTTCAGTTGTGTAAACCTCATCATCCATTAATGATGACCACGGTGTTGAATTTAAATCTATCAGTTGGAGAGTGCATAACTTGCGGATGATGTCCCATACAGAATCCAATAGATTTTTTTTCAAACAAAGGCAGCGGTGGCAAAGAGGAGTTAATAACTTTTCTTCTAAATCCACACAATGTTAAACATGGTGCAAGTACAGTCGTAAGTGCTCCATTCAGAAGATCAAATAATATTTTGTGATCTACACTAATATCATTCTACTCCTTCCCGATAATTTCATTTTTTGTCTCTGATTTTCTGTAAGCTTCTTCCACTTCCTCAAAAATCTCATTGCTGATAGGATTCGTAGCTGCGCTATTTCACGAAAAAGTTGTTCTTAGTTGATCCAAGATACATACCGTAATGTAATGGCCCAAGCCCACGGCTAACGGATATTATCCTCTTTGGCCTTTCCTTTCCGGGCTTCCCCTTGAGATTTTAAAACGTGCTGCTAGGGAGAGGTTTCCACACCCTCATAAAGAATGTTTCGTTTCCCTCTCCAACCGATGTGGGATCTCACAAGTAAGAAGGTCTCGTATGTAAGCTTCTACTGAATCTTCAAGTTTTGTGACTTCAGACTCACAAGGCTGCTGTTCCACTTTGTCCTCAATATCACCCGAATCAAGTTGATTCACCTGTCTTCTAAGGTCTGCAGTGTAAAAAAGAATCGTAATCAAATACTTGAACTCAGATCTCAATCCCATATGTTTACTTAATTGATATATGTCGGTCACCAAAAGAATGACATGCTAATAGCTAGTAATGCCAACATGAAGTTAAATATAGTTACAGTTCGTAGCGCTCCCCAGAGTTCATCACAACAGTTGGCAATCTTCTTCTTGACAAGGTTTTCCTGAGCAAGAGAGACAGTCTATTAATGCTCTACTAACTTCAATAACCCTTGAACACTCCCTAAACCTTGCAGCTTGCCATGCTTCAGATTCCTTCTTGAACTTTTGTAATTCCTCCTCCTGAGGGTGTTCCCGTCGGCGTGATTTTCCCATCTTCTTACCGCTGTTCCATCCATCAGCAGCCTTGTCATTTTCATTATAAGATGAGTGCAGGTCCATCTGCTTAGAAGAATTTGATTCGGAGGATGCATGAGAATAAAATCATGTATGAATATGAGCTACAGAATCAACAGTACGCCCTAATTAGAAAATCCAAACCAAAATCTCCCCTCATTTTCCTGAGATTTTGGTTTGCCGAAATCAGTAAGCGGAGAAATTCAATGGCTCGATTATGAACAAAAATATCACCAGGAATCATAACAAGCACAACTATTCCAGAAATCGGAGAACCACCAGAGCAAGATCCATATAAGGAAGAACAGGTTAGATATCATATGTTTGAAAGGCTAGAAGGAAATTCGTGGTAGCAAACAAGAAGTTCTCCGAAAAATAGACTCATTAATCACTTCATTTTCTCAAAATCATCAATCTACAACATAATTTGAGAGAATTAACAATTTCACACGATAAAATTAAAAAAAAAAAAAAAAATCATCCAGAGTGGTGTAGCTTGCATATAACAGAACCTCAACAATTGAAGTCCGTAATCAGTACGCAAAATTCACTGTCAAAACAGAAAACAAAACGCAGTCTCTGAAACAAAACCTGCTTCCTTAACCAATTCCTCCGAATTGATCGATCAGAAGAACAACGAAGTGAATTGCATCGGAAAGTTTAGTGGGAGTGAAATTCAGAGAATAGGACAGAGAGAAATCTTAGGATCAAACGAAGTTCATAATTCAGGGGTAAAAGAGTAATTTTACTTAACATTATTAGTCTTTCACAAACAAAACAAAAGAAGGTTACTAATCTAACTGGGCCGGACCCAACAATTCTACAAGCTTATTGGGCCTTCAACAATAACATAAGCCCAGCCCATCATTTGTAGCCCTCTAACCTCCCATATGAGACTTTTTTTTTTTAAATTTAAAAAAAAAAAAAAAAAAACTGACAGTTATGCTCATATGATTGTGGAGGTTCGTAATTCTTAAGTGACATATTAATGGTAAAATTGAGACCAAATAGACGCAAACATAGAAGATTTATAAATAAAATTTTATTTTATATTATATTTGATTACATAATCTAATTAAAAAAAAAATGGTCATTTTCCACTAAATAATGGAATAATTACAAATATAAATAAATCCCAAATAATAAATAAATAATAATAATAATAACACTTTTGGTAGTCCAGTTCACCGCCTTAAAGGCATAAATCAAATAAAGCAAATGGTTAAACAGAGTTATGAAATTCCATTTCCATTTCCAATAATTCCAAATCTTTAATATTTCAACGCCTTCCCCCCTTTCAATTATTAACCTCCAATATTCTACCAAAATATTATATTAATTAATTATTTATTTATTACATACAAAATTAAATTCTATTTATTTTAAAATAGCTTCATATTTTTTATTTTCGAAGAAGCAACCAAAAGTATTCAGTTAGCCACGTGGCCAACCAGAATTCAGAGCCGGTGGAATGGGACCCACTTATAAATCCACGTGGCTTTCTTTAACTCGTCAGAGGCGTTCGTTTCATAACTTCTCTTCCCTCCCTGTCGTTTTCAGGGCTACCTAATCAACGTACACGTGTCCCATTCAGATGATCCAAACCTTCCTTTTGTGCTTTTTGAAAAAACACTTGGTTTCTTCTTTGTCCCACTCATTTTCCTCTCTCTGCTCAAAAGAAACTTCGTCGGTTATCTCAAAGCGGATTTCGTTTTCCATTTTCAGTCTTCTCTTCTGATCTCACTTATCATCCTTCACTCAGATTCTCAGCGACTGGAGCTCTCGCAATCGCCGAGATGTTTGTCAAGAAACTCGTTGAGAAGGCTTCGCGGAAGGTAAGTCGTTCTTTAATTTCTTTCTACTCTGTTAATTATCTCCTCTTCTTCTGATCGAGTGCCTTTACTGAATACTGAAAATGATCGCACTCTTTTGATCTCTAAATGCTTTTTAACTTCGTTGCCTGATTATTACTGCTTCGATTAAGTCGTTCTAGAGTCGTTTTTTCTTCGGATTTGATTTATTTTTGCGGAATCTACGAGGTTTGAAAGAAACCGGAGCTCGGAATTGAATTGAATTGAATTGAAATCTCTTCAGCTTTAGCAACGATATTTCTATAAAATTGACTGGAGTTTGACGAATGCGAAGTTCGGTATCTTAATTTTGTTTACTGATTTTTTATTTCTTGAAAGCGTGGGAAATTTGAAAATCGTTGCGACGTTGAAATTTATCCGGAAAGTCTAGATGTAGGAGTTGAATGTCTAAGATTTGTTGCCAATTTCAAATGCTATGCGTTTCATGTTTTATCCTTCCTCGATTTCGCTGCTGCAAATCGGGCGAAGGTCGTCGAGTCGAAGAAGAAGAAGAAATTGGCGCGTGGTTGAGTTGTTTATATGAAAATAGAATCCAATTGTCGTATTATTGGCGACGCTTGGGTTCTTGTGCGACACAGTACGAGACACTGTGCCGTACGGAATTTTAAAAGTTGGCGAAGGGGATTTAATTGTTAACAGTTCGTTGCCTTCCGTAAATTTATTATTGTTAAAATATTTTTAGTTAGAATTCTATTTCCACTTTGAACAATTAAGTATTTCAATTCATAATTCAGTTTTTTATTATACCCTAAAATATTATTAAAAAAATATTTTTGTAGTATAAAAAAGTGAGAATTAAATCTCTGATTGAGAATCAAATATTTTCTCATTTTATAAACAAATACTTCTCTTTTGACCAAAAGAATATTTCTTACCACCAAAATTTTGAAAAATGGTAAAAAAAAAAAAAAAAAAAAAA